AAGGTTGTCTCATGGTCATTGAAACTCGAATAACAGTGGTAAAACATCACTGACAAGCATAAATCGAGGAACAATGAAAGAAGCTTAATTTAACTGGCATGTAGCCTACTTACGCTTGTTGCGGTAGAAGTTTCCAGAAATATTGATTCCTTCACATCTCACCACCACCACTTTGTGTCCTAAAAGACGACATTAGTTTAGCATTTGGACATCAAACAAATCCAGTCATGTTAGTGATAACTGTCATCCCGTCTCAGATGGTAGTGCATGTGAGTTTTCTCATGGTCGTTAAACTCAAGCAAAGCTGTAAATGTATCATCATTGACTTCTTAGAATACTGTGATGCTCAGTTTTTTACTTCAGTATTCACATGGCCAGTATACACGGCTTTAGCAAAAACTGTTAATCACATATTACCGTTACACACAAATATTCATATTTAAAACTTACCCAGCAAAACCTGTTTAGCCACAAGGGCAGCAAGCCGCCCCAGAAGGTGGCCCCTGCCATCCAGTAGCAGAACCTGCAGGTTATAAAGAAATACAAGTTTAACTGTACAGTTGTGTTTTTTCACATAACGTTAGCTTTCCTTTCAACTTAATTGGTAACATTGCTTAAGTCAGACGGGTGCTTCGCACTGTTGCTCAAGTTCCGGGTCATATTTAATACAGAACGCACATTTAAAGCAATTACACTTTCAATGACTTTGAGAAACGCGTGTTTCCTACATGAGCATTTTAATAGCTGCCACATGGAACTTCCCGATGAGGACATAGCATTAGCTTAGCATCAACGTAACTGCACGACGTTAGCTAGAGTCATTATTTAGATAACGAGGTTGAGCACAAGCGTTCAACAAAATGCTAAACAAAAGGAAAGCTTTACAGTTAATATTACATTAGCGCGTATATCACCCAGACCTAAACTTCCTCAAGACACAAGTTTAAGCTAGCATGCTAACGACGTTGGCTCGCTAGGGAGGCTGCCATGATGAAGGCATGTACTCGACTTCCACGAGCCGTCTCAAACATGTCTTGAAATCTAGTCTTAGGAGTAACACCGAAATAAACTAAGATAACACCAAGAAGTACCGTAGTTATCACCTCTAAATCATCTATAAATTACCGGATTCAACCTCCACTAAATAGCATAAAAATACATTATGATTCCGCAGCGGTTGCACACCTTATTGAACCGGTCCGCCATGACGTGCGAAAAGAAAGACAGACGGGGTTGCCCGTGCTAAAAGACAGGGGTAGACGGAAGTGACGACATATATATTTCTTTCTCGTGGGAAGTGTGGACAAACGTTCCATCGCCGCCGTTCGTATGGAGGGAGAAGTTTACATACAATATACTATATTTTTTTATTAATACAAGTTTGATGCTCTATTGATTCCCAACTGATAATTTATACTTTTCACTATTCCTAATTTGTGTTTTCAGATTTAAACCTGGACCTTTGGTGAATCGAGTTGTTCATGCTTGCCAATATTGGGCTACACTGCTTTCACACTTTAGAGGTCGTGCTTTGTTTCTTGTTGGCCATGAACTGTAGGTTATCATGGGTTCTACACTGACAGGTTTCACGATCAGCCTTTGTGGGCACCACAACACAAAATGGTCTTACGGTGCAGAAACAAGAATAGGAGACCCGATGTTCATTTTCTGAATGGTGCATATTTTTCATTGTGTCTATTAGCAAACATTTCTGTCTTTTCATCTTATTTTGAGTGACAGTTTGCTTTCTTCCTGTTGTCATACAGCTGACATCATCCCTTAAAAAGAAAGCCTTTACTTTCTCTTTGCATTCAGCAGGTAATCTGTTGCTTGCCTTCCTTTCCAAGGTTATGAGCCCTCCACTTGGTCTGTGACCTCGCTTCTTTAAAAAGCCCAGTCACTTGTGCAGCCCTCTGCAAACTGTATTTCTTTAAAATGTGGCCAATTGTTATTTTTGCAATGTGTTTCTCTCGTTCCTTGTTTGTTTTTTGTATTTATTTCTGATGTCCTCAATTATTGATTCCTGCAATAACAACCATCTCCTAATGGTGTTAACTGTTTGATTGCGCAGCAGTCCATCCACTATAGAATGTGCCGACCGCTGGTACCTCTTCTTCTATTTCTTTCTTTTTTTAATTTTCCTTCTCCAACAAGGCCTTTAGTTCAATTTCATTCTGCAGCCTCCTTCTCCCACGCCTGACGTTCCTCCGTCCAACAATATATTGCTACAATTTACAATCAATCTAACAGATATTTGGTTCCGTAACCGCTCTACTACCTTTCTACCTTCTTAATGTAAAACCATCCCTTTCTTAACCCCCTAAACTCCCCTAACCCTAAACCTTATTTATTCATTATTTTATATATATATATATATCATTAATGTGCTCCCTGTGTCATGTTGATTTCGCTTTACAGTGGCATCTAAAATAATTATAAAATATTATCATGAAAAAGGTTAGAAAGTAGATTGCATCTTTAAAGGCAGGGTTAAAAACATTTTTATTTAAATTTAATTTAAACTTTACATCCCGACAGTTAATGCTCTGACAAATAATCTGGTGTCTCAGGACTGTAAGAAGCTCGTCCGATCATTTTATTCAGCTCGTATATAATGATCGGACGGCCACCTGACCCGTTCCTGCCTCCGTGTTCTCATTGATCATATCCAATTATATATATACTGCATATACACTCACTGGCCCCTTTATTAGGTACACCTTGCTAGTACCAGGTTGGACCCCCTTTTTCCTTCAGAACTGCCTTAATTCTTCGTAGCATAGATTCAACAAGGTGTTGGAAACATTCCCCACACATTTGTCCATATTAACATCACGCAGGTGCTGCAGATTTGTCGGCTGCACATCCATGATGCGAATCTCCCGTTCCACCACATCCCAAAGGTGCTCTATTGGATTGAGATCTGGTAACTGGAGGCCATTGGAGTACAGTGAACTCAGTTACATTCAAGAAACCAGTTTGAGATGATTTGAGCTTTGTGACATGGTGTATATGACAAACATTTTCACTCTGCCATAAAGGTCAGTGGAGGTCCTCTTGATGCAAGATCATGTTTACTGTTCTGCACTTTAATGTTATAAAAGTCCCATCTTTAAAGGTACACCACCCTGACATTTGAGAACATTCAAATTCTTTGACAAAACATGTATAATGATCTCAAATGCTTTTAACAGGCATTTGTAAAATTGTTTATTTGAAAGCAGTCAATAAAATCATGCCATTAAAATAAAAACATGGCGTTTTTAGTCTGTACATTTGCACGATCAGTGGCGTCGCCGGACATTTTCTGGGTTTCAGATGCCAAAACAAAATGATTTGAATTTACTGAAAATGTATTCAAACTCAACTTTAATTGAATGAAATGACATCATGAATTGATACAATTATTTTAAAAGGAAATAATGGACTCCCAACACTAAAATATGGACATCATGTCAGTGACCCACATGCCATATCATATGATTGATATCTAAAATTCATCAAGGTGTAGGCCCATTACTGAAAATGGTCTTGTAAGACCTGAATTATGTAAACAATGCTCGGTCATGTTTAGATCCACAAGATTACTTTTTATTTAAAATAAAACCATGAAACAATAAGGAATGCTTTGAAGGATTTTATTCAATGCAGTAAAGACAGTACACATTCACATCATACTCTATTACTCCAACTCATTTAAGTTACATATGTACAGGTATGGTTGGAACTTTAATCGGCAAAAATATGCTTTAGAAAAAATAAAACAATTTCCCCGCAGTGCGTGTTAAATGACTACGCATCTACATAGTTCCGTTGCAAAATTGAGAATTTGCGTTGACTAGATTAATGTTTTTACTCTCGATTAACCACTTTATAAGCAGAGTTCTATCCAACTCAACTCTGATCAGCTTCGGGATAAAGTTATCACCATCAAGAAAGAGCTGTTGCAGCAGGTACATTTTAATGCCTGTCCATATTTGTAAATTCTACATTTCAAATCAAAGTGTGTCCCCCAAAGTCACATTTATCAAGTCAGCACTGAAATCAGTTATGAGGCTCACCTTGCGAGTGGGTTTCAGATGCACATCTTAAGAGCAGCAGGAACAACCATGCGCTTCCTCTGTGGAACAAAAGACAAAATCAGACAAAGAAGAAACCGGCGCGTATAGCCACTGATAGGACAGCATGTCTCAGATTATAGATTTATTTTCAGTCGTTTTTCAAATAAGGCTGGTAAGGGTAATATGTAACATCACAGACAGCCAAGCGTAACATGTACGGGCCAAACGGACATATTATGGCCCTTGGAGTTGATGTAGATTCATCACCTTGTCATAGGGCGGGGGG